AACATGCTACTTCTCTGACACTATCCAATAGGCTATATAGAATGATTGGAAATAAAAATGAAATTTGACAAATTTATATAGGATTTACTTTCCATGTGCAGAACTACAATATAGTATGTAGTAGAATATAAACATCTATACCTATGTCTCCCTCGGGTTCATTGGATATGAGAAGAACATAGTCATCAGGCCATCAAAAAAAATGTGACCCCTCTCACTTGAAATTCAATTGTGTGCTCTTGACAATATTTCATTTGGTGTGGAAAAGCTTGGTAGAGCTGGATTATGAATATGTATTATTCTCACAGATGCACAATTAAAAACTGGTGCTTGCAGAGAAAAGATAGAGAGAAGATGAAGTTAAACGTTCATAAAATGACATACCTATTCTCAATCTGTTCTTTACTTACATTTCTATATTTAGCCTGTATCATGTTTCTCATGAATTCCCTGGCACTGTGATTGGAGCTATGTCAGAAGGGTCAGGTTAGCACCTGAGCAAAGGAGTTCATGATACGGACTCTATTCAGCATGCAAGAATATGCAGTTGTGTGAAAAGCAGGAGATCTGCATCACACACAAACGTTCAGTTTTTAGCCTGCTGGATTGCAGATCAAAAGGTTAAAGAAAGGATTTATTAAGAATGAGTAGTGACAATTTAAATAAATCAGATGTTTTTGCCGAAGATTATGCTGTGATTTTCTCCAATTATTCCTGACATTTCACCCATTCATATCGTGATGAGAGTTAATAATGCAAAGAGAGGAAAAAAAGACTCTTGTCTGCTTGTTTATTCATTGTTCTCAAGGAGCTAAGCTGTTTAGAGAAAGAAGTTATTTGTTATTTAAATCACTTTTCGCCAAAGTTGTTTATTCTCTGTTTGAGTATCTAAAAATATTGCTTTTAGCAAATATGCAATGTCTTTTTGAAATGTCTGTGCAATTCATAGTGATTTGCACACTGCAGTTCATTGTTAAATGGGTCCAGGTGTTGATGAATTTAACATCTGAGATTGAGTTAACTCATTAAAGCTCAAAAAAAGGACACAAAAAAGAAAGTTATTTTTAAACCTTATAAAATGTTATTTGATACAATTGGTAACAGTGCAGTCTTATATCTGCCTTTAAGCAAGTCTCATTGAAGTACCTGTGTCTACATTTATACAATAAATAGCATACATTTTATGTTTTGTAACATAATCCTGAATTCTGTTGTTCTAAATTTTATTTAGATTATTCATGTGCTGCAGTTATATACTTTTCCCATTTCTAGATAAATAAATGGTGTGAGAAAAAGAATAGGAAACAGAGTTCACAAAATTAATCAGGCTTAATATTTTTTGGTTTTACTGAAAATTTAAGAGTGCACTTAATTTTTACTGAAATCAATGAGATAGTAAATTTTAAAATCATGCTTATAGAATTCAGTCACTATTCACTAATTTAAAAAATTGTATTATATGAAGGTCATTATTAACTAACAAAATGAATGGAAATGCTACATAATATACAGTATTGACAGAACATGCAAGCAAAATGTGTTGCTTGTGACTGGAGACTGAATGCCAAAGTTAGAAATATTAAGGATCAATATGTAGTTGTATTGTATGGCTTAGAAAACAAAACTGAAGCAGGAGGCTAATTCATTAACTTCTTCCCCTCTAATAGTTTATTCATAGTGTAACATCCTCAAACAGCAAAAAATAATGTTACCGGAGGAGTACATAGAAATCAAATTGACAACATTAATGCTAAAATTAGGTGGAGGAGCTTAGTTAAAACATCGAAGATATGGGCAACTGCTGACTGTAAAACAGAATACAAACTGTTCACGCGTAAGTTCCTATTAAGCTAAAGAAAAGTAAGAAAGCCAACTACTTTCTACAATATGTTGAGCATTTTCAAGGAAAACATGACAAATCAGATTGAAATCCTGAACTATGGAATGAAGTTACGGAAGTAGCTAAAGATAAATGTGAAAAGAGACTGTCCAAAGATAAGAGACAGAAGAAAGGTAATTGGAAGGGGGGGGCAGGAAACTGGAAAGTAGTATGAGAAAAACAAGGAAAAGAAGTAGAGCAAAGGAAGGTAATGATCTTAGCAAGGACTTTAAGGAAGAATTTCAGAGAGTTGTTTGATGTCCGGCCCCAAACCAAAAAATGACCCAAGGTGAGTTATTTTGTTGTTTTCATACCTGTAGACAAAAACGTACCAAATTGAGCACTTTATTATCTGCATCTACCATATACTGTGTGAAGTATTAGAGACAGTATGTGACTTCATTTTCTTTCTTTTACACATAACATCTAGATTGAATTGCCTTTTACTCCTCTGGAATGCATCACCTCCCTCCTGGGAATTCACCTCCTTACTACATTCCATCACATCAGAAGACTCAGGAAGCAGTATTGCAACAACATCTGTAAAGATATTGAAGATGGAAATAGTCATGTATAAACAGGAAAAGTGTTCCAAAAGATGTCTGAACTCAAAAGGAAATTCCAAACTGCTAAATGTTGCCAATGGATAGACAGCAAGTGATTCAAAGAAGATCAAAGAAAGATGGATTATATTGAAATACTATACAAGAGTGGCAGGGAAGTGATGTACAGCGAGAAGAAAACTACTCACAATATAAACTTTTTTCATTTTAGTTGACTGTTATCTAGTTTGTTTTGCCAGTTATACAACTTTCTCTATTTATATAGAGGTGAAAGCCACATGATTCAGTATCATTATTTTAGCTTAATTGATTAGGTATTTTAACGGTGTGTTGTGAATGCTAAACAGTTTATTATATAAAAATATACATTTATATAGTTTCCTATCATACCTACCTACCTACCTACCTATCTATCTATCTACAGTATCTATGACTCTGGGCAGCTAATAATTAGAATAAAAACAATAAAAATACAACCAACTACAGACACACATATACACAGAGTCATGCATTTTTGCATTAGTATGGTTATTTAATTACTGTATTTAGTACATATTGCTGATTAGCAAACAAATGAAAATAAAGAATATTAACAAGAGAATAAAAGAATTGAAATGGATGTGAACAGATCACATAGCAAGAAGAAATGATGGCAGGTGAACCAAGAGAATCATAGAATGGATTCCACTTGATAAAAAACATCCACAAAAGAGACCTAAAACAAGGTGTATTAACGACATCAGCAAGTATTGCGGCCCAATTGGCAAAAGAAAGCTCAGGAAACACGCAGAAGAGGCCTTCATCTTGCAGTGGATAGACAATGGCTAAATGATGATAATTGCTGTCCATCTCACATAGTGACTCTGAGTGCCATACAAAACAATCCAAATATATAAAAACCAATTAAAACACAGCCAAAATAAATTAAAAAGATTTTTAAAATGACAAGGAAAAAAATCCAGCTAGAGAATGCATTCCAATTAACCATCATGTAACAATCTCACTGCTCCATTCTATCATGGGATTCCCAGGCCAGTTGACAAAATGATGTCTGAAGGGCCTTAAAAATATAGACTTACCGTACATTTCACATATAGGGCTTGTTTTGCACAACATTCACAGGATTATACACACTAGCTGGGTACTTCAATATGACAAACAGTCATAGATTGGTCCCTGCATGCATAATGTTAAATGCAATCACTGTGTACCAGTTTACTGATAAGACTTAAGAGTCTGAATAAACATGCTGCATGATATTTTTAGATATTGAAGTTCCCCAAGAGAAATATTGTTTTTTCTCTCAGAATAAATCACATATAAAATATTGGAATTACTCATTAGAATAGAATAGAATAGAATAGAATAGAATAGAATTCTTTATTGGCCACATATGATTGGACACACAAGGAATTTGTCTTTGGTGCATATACTCTCAGTGTACATAAAGAAAAATAAAATAGAATATATTAATCAAGAATCATAAGATACAACACTTAATGATAGTCATAGGTTACTAATAAGCAATCAAATTATACTAGGAAACAAATAAAACAATATAAAATTTAAAGATACAAGCAACATGGTTATAGTCATAAGTGGGAAGAGAGAGGTATTAGGACAGAGATAGATACTAGGAAGGAAAAGAAGAATAGTAATACAGTCCTAATAGATAATTAGAGTGTTGTGGGGATTAGTTGTTTAGCAGAGTGATGGCATTTGGGGGGAAAAACTGCCCTTGTGTATTATTGTGTATATTATATTAATAGTATAGTATAGTATAGTATAGTATAGTATAGTATAGTACAGTACAGTACAGTACAGCAGTGTTTTTCAACCACTGTGTCGCGGCACACTAGTGTGCCGTGACATAGTGTAAGGTGTGCCGTGGGAAAAACACTTTATATATAGTCAATATAGGCACAGAGTTAAATTTTTTAAACATTTTCTAATGGTGGTGTGCCTCGTGATTTTTTTCATGAAAAAAGTGTGCCTTTGCACAAAAAAGGTTGAAAAACACTGCAGTACAGTACAGTATTAGTGTATATTATATTACATTGTGTATATTATATTATATTGTGTATATTAATACCATAATACATCAGCACGTAATATTCAATACATGCCAAGTTATCCAAGTATTAAAAATTGTAAACCCTCAATCACTATGCTCGCTTATGGAGCCAGACGGATATGTGATCATAAACATGACACATTAAATACAAACAATGCCGTTCTTGTTCGTACCAACCAAACCCATAGACAGCCGGCCAAAATCATAGAATCGAGCCGGTCGGGTTGAAATACAAGCAGAAATACAACACTTCCCAGCATGCCTTTTGCATCCGGCTGCCTTGCAGTCTCTTTGAGCGGAGTCACGTGCTGCATCCTGGAGCTCGTAGTCCGTGCAAAGAACGAGCCCCTGGTTTAAGGTGAAGGTGAATGGAAACAGGCTGGCTGAGAAAGGAGGCTTTGGCGGAGCGGCCGTATCTGCTGCAATAAAGTTACTTTCCAAAAGGGCGGGGGAGGGGCGGGGAGAGGAAAGGAAGCACGTCAAGATGGCGGCTCCCGTGTCGCCCTTGGTTACTGGGCGCCGCCTGATAAACGCTGCCATTCGACCCGCCAATCTCGTCCTAACTTGCTGGGGCCCGCGGAAAGGTTAGTGGCGTTTGGGTCTAGGTCTAGGACGTATAAAGTGAGGCCGCGATCTATAGAGAGGATTAGGGCTCAGCTGGTAGGTCAGTTATGAAACGGCTCCCCTGGTTTCAAGCCCTGGTCGTGACTGTCAAGATCTCCAGTTAAAGGGGAGTTAATACGGCTCGGCTTTCTTTCCTGCACTTGAATCGCCCGGCATCGGCCTTTCGGGAAGTGTTCCGAAGAGGAACGCCCAGCGAGTTTTAAGGTCCTGGAATGTCCGTGAAAAGTTAAGAATAGAGTCCGGCCGGTCTCTCCATTTTAAAACATTCGCCCTAAGGGGTGTCCAACCGCCGCAACTCTTAAGACTTGTGGACTTCAACCCCCAGAATTCCCCAGGCAGCTTGTCAACTGTGCTGGCTCGGGAATTCTGGGAGTTGAAGCCCACAAGTCTTCAAAGTTGCCACAATTGGAGACCTCTGGCCTAAGGATTTTATGCCCCTTTAGGGATGTTCTTCAATTTTATTTTTCATAAGCAATGGAGAGCAGATTTAAATGGGTACCCACTAACATTTATTATTGTGTACCGGTTATTCTCTGAAAAGTGTCTCTATATACAGCTTGCCAATAGGATGTTGCTCCAACTCTGCACAAATCCTTATTTTGCCCCCAGCAAAGAGAAAACCCTGCTTCAAGTTGATTTTTCAAAGCCCTTCCAGATGCTACCTGTACAACTTTAGTTACGTTAACACCAGTGAATCAAAGTTTAACTCATAAGCTGGGGAATCAAGCAAACTATTATGTTTTAATATGTTGTATAATGTTGGTTTTGTGATCAAGTAGATTAAAAAATACTTCTGGGTATGGACTGAGCATCAATGTCAAAACATGCAGATCTCTGGATTTTTAAAAAATAGTCATTAACCTTTATAGTTGTGGAGCTCTTAGTGGCAAAAGAGAAGTTTGGTTCAACATCAACTGGCTTATCTCCAATAAGGTTGAATAAGAGACTGTATATTCTGTATGGCCCAGAATTGATTGGGATGCAGGAAAAAAAAACACCCTCTCCACTCAAGACTCATCAATAAATCTTTTTACTGGCAAATTGAAAGCTCCCAATGCTGAAAAGTGTTACACTGATGGATTCTGCAATCTCTACTTTACTATCACAAAAATGATGTACAGGAAAATTATCTTATCAATTAACATTTTTTCCACAAAATATTGATGTACTTTGTAGCTATTTTGGTGAACTGTCCAGGTTAACAGTTGTCAGACTATATGCACATAATAAATACATATGTTCAAGTATGTTTTATTGCATAGGATGCATGCTAAACACCTGTGGGAAGTTATAAATTTGCAAGCATAGCAATAATCCTATGTGATATAATTCAGTTTCAATGCACATACTGTGATTAAAGAGTGAAAACAGCACTTTTGGTACCTGCATGTATGTTTTTGACTTGTAGTTAACACCGGTCTTGCTAGTAGATACTGCTGTAGGAAATTGATGCACTTTAACTGACTTGGATGTATGCTTTTCTATTGGCTAATTTTAATTTGAACGAACATAGAAGAATATTTACAAATTGCCAGAAGTATATTTAACTTTTCACTCAGGGAAACCTTTTAGATAACAGATTCATTTTCTTTCCTAACATAGCCAAGATTTGGACAGGCTGAATTCCATCCTACACAACCTGTTTACTCATAATATTCTAGGTTTTAAAATAAGGAATGTATGTTAAATTATGTGGAATTTATAAAAAGTAGATTAGGGCGCGTAATATCAGAATCTTTCATACTTCAGATGTATCTGTGTCAGGGTTAGCTGATTCAGAATATGCATTCTTAAGAATATAGGAACTTGCAGAATTAGTCTATATCTAGTACAGTGTTTTTCAACCTTGGCAGGTTTAAGATGTGAGGACTTCAACTCCCAGAATTTCTCAGCCAACCAAACTTAATACCTCAGTGGCAGTTATTATAAGATGCATTCTTATTCTGAGAAGAGCAAGAGTCAAAGGTAGTGTCATTCTAATCCATAATCTGATTTATTCAGCATGTGCCTGTCCTTTTGTTATTCTCTCCTTTTCTATCAATTCCTTTCCCCTCTCCTTTGTTCTCTTTTAGCTGCTTACCAGAGTAGAGACAATTCTAAAAGTTTGGGAAAAAATACTTGGTGTACATATGTAGGAAATAAAAGCTATAGTATTGCTTAAAAGAAGGAACTAGAATAAAAAATCACTACACTTTAGCATAAAGTAGTGAAGTTTTTTTGGGGACATAAATAGCAGAAATAGTGGTACAGGAAGCAACTGTCTATAAGGAGCAGAACCAACCAGTAGATCAGAAAGACCATCAGAAGTATGATATTCAGATAGTGATACTTAATCACTGGAAGAACAACTATTTCAAGATCTAGCAGGAGAAGCAGGCAGAGTCAAGACTCCCAATTGAAAATAAGGCAAGAAGATGGAGTTTTGAAGAGCATAGATGAAGCAACTAAGGTCATGCTGTACACAGAGTTAGCTAATAATGTCAGCTCTCTAGATCTTTAACTCCTGATTCAGAAATTGACTTATTGATGAGATGCTCAGGCATGTTTTAGCAAGATTAGTCTCTACTGGGGATGAGTCAACTTGCATGCATACAGAACATAAACACTGAAAGTCCTCATGCGATATTTAATCTATTCTTCTCAGTTTAAATTCTAGGCTTTTCCCTGCTTGCTTTCCAATTCAATGAATATTTGGGCCATTCTCTTTCTGGACCTGCAATGCATCTGATTTGTGAGAGGACAATTTTCTCTAGTATAGGAACCAATGGCTCTTAGCTTGGCAGTTTTATTACCAGAAGGATGGATGTTGAGGAACAGATGCCAAAGCTTAGAAAGACCTCCAGCAGTTATCTTTTCCTGATAATTCTTACTGTTACTGGGGGTGGGGTGGGGGGTTGACCTGCAAGGAGTAGCTGCACTATAGATTTGGAATATCTAGAAAAGAATCTGAAGAACTTTGGAGGTCCTGTGTAGACAGGGTCCTTCCTGTCTATAGAAGACAATGACAAAACAAGAATAATGCAGGCAGCTGACTAATTAACCCTCTCAATTAACAATCAGTAAGAATATTAGCTTTTAAACTTCATGAGTTTTTTATGTATATACCAAAGCTCCGAATATGGAAAATAACTCTGAAGTCTTGATATATTAAGATAAACAAGACTTAACATATATAAAAAGCATTTGGAAAGATTCTTGTGATTGAAATACTCAAGGGTACAACTTAATAAAAAAAGTAAAAGAAATGATAAGCAATAAGAGGAAAAGCAGAGTCACAGTATATGTTAAACATAACATTTATGCAGAAACATTTATGCACAAAGGAATAGACTAGTAGTATAGATCCCACAGGGACGCGATGGCTCAGTGGCTAAGACGCTGAGGTTGTCAATAAGAAAGGTGAGCAGTTCAGCAATTTGAATCTCTAGTTTATAAGCTGTCTTGGAGAGGTCATATCTGCAAAGGTAGTCTAAAATTATGATGTATAAATAGCATAAGTTATGTGAAATTATACATCTTTGGCTGAACTTTATATTATTTAATATGAAGCGTAAGAAGTATAAACCCTGGGAATTTCAGCTATATTGCTTTGATGTCTGCTTCTAGTAGTTACTCTGACTATGTCTTCTTAAAGGTAAATCCTATTGTGTTAGAGCACACTGTCAAGTAGATGTGAACAATTTGTAGCTGATTTTAATAAGAATATCCTAGGCAAAAGAAGCTGGTTTAGTTTAATGGTGAGAAGAGAATATGTAGAATATTTTAAAAGCCTTGAATTATTGAGAGATAACTGTTTTTTGAGGTTTAGATTAATTTATAGGGAGGAACATTAATTCAAAATCAAGATAATCTTATTCATTATAATTAATTATTTAGCATTAGAAAAGATGGTAATAGTAAGGGAGGGCCTCAAAAATAATAACTTAAAAACTTTAATAAATTTTTTAATTATTTATGTAAAAAAGTGGGGGTGCGATGGCTCAGCGGTTAAAGACACTGAGCTTGTCAGCTGGAAAGCTGAGCACCTGGGTTCAAGACCCAAGTGCCACATGATGGGGTAAGCTCCTGTTACTTGTCCCAGCTCCTGTTCACCTATTATTTCAAAAGCATGCAAATGCGAGTATATAAATAGGTATCATTTCAGTGAAAGCATTCCGTGTGCCTTGGCGTATAGTCATGTGGCCAATATCTTCAGACAGCGCTGGCACCCTTGGCTAGGAAACAGAGATGAGTAGTGGTCCCTAGAGTCAGACACAACTGGACAGTGGAAACCTTTACTTTTATATGAAAAAGTAACAACTCTTGTTTTCTAATAACATATAGAATATTGTATTTATGTGTTAATCCCCATCTTGTGGTGTCATAGAAAATATCCATCTCAATGGCCCAACGAAGGACATTCATATATTGTATATATTGATCTGTAGTTGTACATGTCAAAGTGAGACTGATGAATGTAGTTGAATGTAGTGCATTGAATACATATTTATTAAGTGTTAAATGTTGAAAACCCTTTTTGCTTTGCATGTTTGTGATGCTCATGAAAAACACATCAGAAATCTGTACAGAAATTTCTGGCCGTGCAAATACTGTGTATTATTATATACTGCACTTATTGAAGCTGATGGGTATTCTCGTGTGTTTAAGTTATATGTAGAAAGTAGTCTTGGAATAGTAGCAAAATTTATAGCAAAGGTTGTTATTTATGTGTCATGTACTTCTGAATGATGCAGAAGGCTCACAAACTATTTGTTAATGGGGAATGAATTGGACTAAGAGAGTGTTTCTCAATCTTAGCTGTTTGAAGATGGGTGGACTTCAACTCCCGGAATTCTGGGAATTGAAGTCCACCCATATTCAAGCAGCCAAAGTTGAAAAACACTGGAAATCATAATGACTAGCTGATGACTTTAAAAGAGCCAGTTTTTCTTAGTGATTAAAGTCTTGGCCAAGAAAGCAGGAGACTGTGAATTCTAGTTCCGCCTTAGGCAGGAAGGCCAGCTGGGTGACTTTAGGCCAGTTAGCCTCTCTCAGGCCAACCCACCTAACAGGATTGTTGTTGTGGAGAAAATAGGAGAAGGAAAGTGTATTAAGTATGTTTGCTGCCCTGAGTTATTTATAAAAATAATAAAGGTGGGATAAAAATAAATCAGATCAGAGTTTCTCATTTCAGCCCAATAACTTATTATATAAGAATAAGACTGACTCTTTTAGTGTTTTTTTTAAACAGTAAATAAATGTTTCTTTCATGTCATACAGCATATACAGTTCAGGTAGCAGAGAAAGCTGCCAGCAGTGGACTAGCAGATGCTAATTCGAAAGCCTTATTGCTTTGCAATGGACCTTTAGAACATTATGAATTCCTTACCAAAGTGGAGCAGCTGAGGAATGATGAACAGCAAATGAAAATCATGCGGTGCCTGCAGAAACTACATGAAAGTCTTAAAGGCTACAAACTCAGTCCAAAACACATATTCTCAAAGGTAAAGTTCTTCCATTAAGCATTTTTACAGCAGTTTTTGTATCTGGTTCGCATGATTTTTCTGAGTGATTGCAACAGCTCTGTAAAACAATGTTATTTAATTACTACACTAAGAGACTGCGACTGAGAAGATAAGACAAAACAACAAGGCTCGGTATCAGAAATATTTGATGGCATTCAAGGTAAAATAAGATTGATAATTTTATTCTCCCCAATCAGTGGTGGGTTTCAAAAATTGTTCGAACCTACTCTGTGAGTGTGGCCTCCTTTGTGGGAGTGGCTTGCTGCCCATGTGACTGGATGGGAGTGGC